TTGAAAAAAAATACATTAAAAATATGGGAGAAAAGGATGTATTGTATTATTTGATAAAAAAAGGTCTATTACAACTAGGAAATGCTTTCTTATAAATATTAAATGGAAATCGCTTTGGTTGCTCCTCTTGAGTTAACCAGAAAATTTTAAGAACTCGTATACATTTTTATACTCATATAAACTAAATAATACGATCGTTGTACAGGGTTTCTTGACAGTACAGGTCTCCTAAAACAGGGCTTATCACCAACCTCCAGTCTATTATTCAAATACACAGATTTGCAACTAATTCACTTTCATATGGATCGAATGACAGGCCCATGGACTTGTTTGTAACATAAAAGTATGAAAATGTGAAGGGAATGGTGGGTTTTAGTGCGTAATTAGGGATCGGATGTAAGATAAAGGGCCAGGCTGTATGTTTTTACTAACATCAGTGATCAGTGTGTCAGTAAGTAGTACTTCAAAGCTGCTGCCGTGATCAACCCGATTAATTCTGCAGTGGGATTTAGTTAATTTAATTAACTGAGAAATTGATTACAATCTTTTCATCTTCACATAAAAACAAAACTGCGCAAACGATGGCAACCTTTTTTTTATTTTATGGCATACTTTAAATTGATGGATAACAGGTGAATGGGTCCAACACTATCGTTCAGTTCGTGATGCGAAGGTTTGTGCGTTCAGTGAAATCTCATGCAGAATCAAGTGGCACCTCTCTACACAAAAAAATAAATAAATAAAACAATATAAGTATAAAAGCTTTTCAGTTGTGCTCAGAAGTGGTAATAGTAATTTTAATTATAAAACTTAACTTTAGCTATTTATTGTCTAATAATTCACTTTATTCTAGAGTAAACTGAAAAGGTTTTACACAAAAATAAATGTAACCTAGACAGCTGGGCCCACTTTGGGGCATGTATTTCGGAACTGGAGCTACTGCTGCCTCCCTTTTTGGGTATGAATAGGCATCTTAAGTGTAATGAACTAAGCAGTTAAAAAAAGCCCTATAAGTCATATAAAAAATATGGTTCGATCCCATTTCTGCTCCTTATTTCAGCTTTTATTTTCACAAACTTTATATTTCTTAGGCCCTATGGTCGATTATTAGGTAATCCAGACAAAACGATTGTGTGAATACTATTAATAATACCTCTGAGTCTCTCGCTATAGGGGGTTTGCCTTTAGGAATGTCTGTGTAAATAATGCATAATCTTCTTTCCTATCAGAAGTAATTGGTAGTTGGTTTTCTTAATTATTTATTATTAATTAGAAGTAATTACTTAGGTAAGTTGGTTTTCTGGAAAAAGTAATAATTGTGCCCCAAAATCTTTCCACTCTCACTCTTCCGAATCTAAAACAAACTAATCAAAATTTGGAGATTTATTAGTGCATGGAACGAGTATAGGCCTCCTTCACAGACTTCGACTTTTCATTTTATAGCCCTGGTCAGGGGCGCCCAGAAGGGGGTTTCGTGGTGCAAGCTGCGCCATCAAAATGTATGGGGGAGAGGCACTTTTTGAAGGGGCTTTTAATTTTTGAGGGGACACATTTCGACAGGGTTATGAATTTTCAAAATGAAAAGTTTCAAATTAAATGACAAGTGGAAGCATGGAACAGACTGCAGTATGTTTAATTGTGTATAATCTATGAATATTTAAATTCTACTTTCATTTGCACTGTTTTTAAGAAGAAGACAGGTATGAAATATCTTTGGAGGAGTGGGGGAAGGTTTATGCGCCATTGGCCTTGGTGGGGATGGACACCACTCTCTCATAAGATTTTTCCATCCCTGAATTTCTCCGCCAAAGCCGTCCTTACAGCCGAGCCCATAGGGAATAGAATGGACGTATTCTCTATGGCCGAGCCAACTCTGTACTCCATCAATGTTTTTTTCCAAAATTTAAGTTTAATCCATTTCAGTCTTCTTTTAACTAAGTATTACATCACATGCTGTTGGTTCAAAGATATTCTAACTCTCATAATTGATTTTTTACCTATCAATGGGTTTCTAGTTGGATTGATTTCATCGTTATCAGAACATATAAAATCAAATTATTAAAAATTATGTTAACAGTAGCATAACGAGTAGAAATAAAAATATGATGTTCACCAGGTCATCCCATATAAAACATGGACCTTTTGGTGTTCGGGGCCCACCAAAAAAATAAATGAATAAAATTTCATTCAGTAAAAACAACTTAAAAAAAAAAAATAAAAACAGTAATATTCTCTTCAAGTTGAAAAAAAATGTATATGATGTTTTTGCAGTAAAAGTGTCATTGAATTAAGAAAAAATAAATCCTTCTTGCAGCTCCTTAAGGAAGTGTGTCCACGGTGAACCGTCCTCTTCGCCCCCCCCCGCCTTCCTAAGTATGCCCTGCCACTTGGAAGAAAGTAATGACTCTATTTTGATGACGATTCCGTATAAATAATAAATTAAAAGAACATCCTATTGTTTCCCAAATCTAATCTAACCATATTATTTTATAGGTTTCATTTTCTGATTCCTTTCATTTTGCTAGTTCTTTTTTTTTTTTACATGAATGAAAACATTCATTAATGAATAATAGCCAGAAGCCCTACTAGCCGATTTTATGATATTTTTTATTGTAAAAAATATTTTTCAACATGTGTAAATGCATTAAGTCAACTGACGAAATGAAATGTACCTCTAATGACAAGTTTATGTAAGACTTGGGTGTCTACCACGACTTTCGCTTTTTTTTAGTTTTAAGCACTATCACTACCCTATTTCTCTGAAGCGAGTGAATAACTCGATTCTTTGATGGTGGCAAGGGTGTCTAGAAGGGTGTCTTTCATGGCGCAAGTTCCGTCATCAAAATCTTTGAGGGAGCACATTTCGAAGGAGTAATTAATTTTTGAAATAAAAAGTTTTAAATCATGAAACAAGTGGAAGAACAGACTGTAGGATGTGTAATTGAATATAATCAACGAATTTTTAAATTCTATTTTTGTTTGCACTGTTTTTAAGAAGAAGAGAATGATAAAATATCTTGGGAAGGGCGGGGGAAGATTCATGCGCCTTGGACCATGGGGAAGATGGGCAGGGTTGCCTATGTGTCCAGTGTTGTGCCCTCGAAATTGTCCTATCAAAAGAGGAAATATTTATGAGCGTTTAATTTCTTCATTGGATATAACTGTAATAAATCTCTCTCTTGCTGAATCATGGCTATCTTAAAGGACAAAGTGCTTGTAATTCGGAAGAAAAATTGTGTAGACTACATTAAAAAATGATAAAAGTGTAATTTGTGTACAGCATTAATCAATGAAAGTAAAAAAACAATAAGTAATTAAAATAATAGATTATATTTTGCTGCAGGAACTGATGATAAACCTTAGCTAAATATTCTTTTTAGTTTACTATGATCAGAACAAAGTATTTTCAAGAAAAAATATCAGTGATACCATGTGATTCTCTTTGAAGCAAACATCTTCTTCATGTCTCAATCATTCTCCTTTGATAATACGATAATTGTGTTGCGTATTCCCGTTTCACTTGAAACACTGTGCTTCTGAGTAATGGTGTTTACCAAACATTTCATAATTTTGGTGAACTGAGATACATTTACCTAATTTAGTTTTAAAAATAAAAGCTGATTTTTTAAGATCTTGTTTTTAACGGCAGTGGCCTCGCGACCTTTTGTAGATTGTATAAATTGGAGTTCTGGCAATGGCCAGATTCTTCACTCAAGACATGAGTGTATGTGGCTAAAGTGCTCTCAACCAATCTCCGCTGGCTTTAGTACCAGTGACGCGGTTGGGAGAGTAGCGCAGGGTTCTCCTGGAGTTCTCTCGCCTGATTGTATATAGGTATGCATGTGTTTTTTTTTTTTTTTTCTTAGTTTTAATTTTCTTATTTTTTAGGTTATTTTATTTTATTGTCTATTGTATATACTTTTGATTATTATTTTGTTCTATTTATTTTATTTTTTTGTACATATGGTGTGAATGTCATCCTACCTCACTATAACCAATGTCCAACAGATAGATTGTTATAATACTCAATAAAGAAAAAAAATAAAAAAAAAAAAAGATCTTGTTTACACACATATCTGCTTTTGATTCATATTTGTAGAATTTTACAAACTGCTTTTGTGTTTTAGTTAATCTAGTTTTAAAAATATAATTTTGTTTTCGTTATATATCGTTTTAAAAATGTTATCCTCCATGGTTTTAATATTTGATGTTTGATTTGAATATTTGAGCTGGCTTGGACTTACCATCCAAGTCAAAACCTTTACTACAATGTTTGTTGTGAATTATTATTCTGGACAAAAATATATTATGTATAGCACGTTCACTAGGTCTTTAAATATTAAATTTCAGTTTTACTGAAGTATTATTGGCTTACTTTCATTCTAAGAGTAATATTGTCATAACTAAAGCAAGTAAAATTAAGAACTACAAAATAAGATTCATTAAAAAAAAAATTTTTTGTGTTTTACTTGAAGTTTGCATAGTAAATGCAAGTTGTATTAGAAAATTGTATTTATTATTTCATACAGTATTGTTTTTGCCTAATAAGTTCATATGACATTCATTTCTAAATTTTAGACATACAAAAAATAATTTATGTTCAATTCTAGCAGAATTTTGATGAACTTGTCTTGTGATAGCTATAAACTATGATATTGAGCCATGGAATCTATCTGAAATAAGATGGGAAGTGTTCAATTTTATTTGCTTATAGTACATCAAACATGCCAGTATACTTGTATGCAACAAAGAAGTGGAATTCCAAAAAAAAAAAAGGATTTCACCATCAAAATTTAAAATATTGTGTATTTTATGACAGAAATAAAATTTATACATATGTATGAATATAATATAATATATATATATATATATATATATATATATATATATATATATATATATATATATATATATATTATATATATATATATATATATATATATATATACACATACACAAACACAAACACACATACTCATACATATACTATATTTCAATTTAGAAAAAAACATAAAAACTTCTTTAAATACAAATTATGATTGAAATAAATTCAATAGTCTGAAAGAGAGGAAAATTTCTTAATGTCAGATATTATGTTACATATTTTGAAATAAATTTTTTATTATGTAAGTTCAATAGAAATTATAATTAACAGTAATTAAAATTTAAATTTTTTGTTGCTGATTCTGGCATCTCATATAATTATATACATACATTTAGGTCAAGGTAATGTTTTAAATGAGAAAGTACCAATGATCTAATATAAGCCCATTCGTAGATTTGAAATAAGATTGAAAAGACAATTTCATACAGAAGGCTTTCCTACAGTTAAAATGTTCACATCTTACACAAATATTTCTGTGTTAGGTTAGATAAAATACAAATAACCAGTTGATGTGTTAACAGATTTTTTTCTGATCTTATTTCCTTTCCTTTAATTAGCTATAGTTTATGAATAGTTAGGGCTGTTTTATTTTAAAGATAGACTATGTAACACTTAACAAGATCACTTTTACAATTTTAACGGCTTTTACAATTTAGCCAACACTTACTACTTGTTTAATTGTTTACTATGTGATGTTCCTTATTCAGTGATTTAGAACTTTCCTTATTACACTAACATTGAAAAGATTATTGGAATGTTGCACATTTAACAAAGAAACAAGCATATCTAACATTTTACAATAATATTATCTGAAATATACAAACATAGACTTCTACACCCATTTAAGTCAAATAAAAATCTGCTTATTTATAATAAAATTATTATTACAACATCTGGGTTTGATTTTTTACATTTATAACACATAATTAAGAAGATCTAATTAGTAAAACACTTATTCACAGTTTTCTTCTGTAACTAACAAATATTTTAATTCCTATGGATAAAATAGTTTTGACAATAACCAAAGTAAGAGACTTACTGAATGGCAAAACTTATAATACAAATGCTGAGTGGATAACATGTTCAGCCCAAACAACATCAAAAGATTTGTATGTACAATAAATAAAAATGCTTAATATAGACTGGAAAAGTGAAATTTATAGTTTTGCTTATTCTTAAATTATTTCATTCTGTTGATTTAGTCGAGAAAACATTTTTTGTAGCATTTTACTAAAAATCAATGTGATAACATTGTTTTTTAACAAATCCATAGTAATTTAGTTTTAAGAATAAACACTTTTGAATTTCGGCTTTCCTTTAGAAAGAAGAAATAATTTATGCACTTTTCAGATTGATCCAGCAACAATCAATACTCCTTGTAAAATCTGTTTTATATCAATTTGGAATTAAGATATAAATTTTAAATTACAATTTAACAAACTTGTTTGCCTTTTTTTAGTCTAAACAATAAATGCAGTTCATGAGGTTCTTCCTCTGACTCAATGCTGATGGGTAATAACCCCGATCTCCTGCCTTCCACTTAATTCTAGTCTAAAGTATCTCGTTTTTGTTTCAATTTTAAATTAACTTTGGTTTGATGTTATTAAAATTGCATATTATTTTCATCAATGATGAAAAATCATTCGATATTGTGAGAATATTAGCTTTATATGTTACTATATTCTTATTGCCCACTTCTTTAACATGAGATAATTCAAAATATATGAGAAAGATGATAAACCATGGTAAATCAATAAAAAATCAGATTTCAGAAACAGTGGCATTACATAAAAAAAACAAAAACAAAAAAAAAAAACATACAAATACAGCCATAAAATTTGTAACAAGTTAACACTTATACGGAAATAGTAAAAAATAAAGATAGAGAACAGGAGAACTGTGATTTGGCATTGGCCAAATTAGACTATGTTGGTTAATTTAATAAATAGGTACATTCACTGTGGATTTAGAACTAAAACTCTCACCTACTATTGAAACCTGTTTTGATTTTCATCATTTGATACTGTATTTATGATCAATAATAATTATGTTGATAGAACTACCCTGGTTGTGAAAATTCAGGCAATGTTATGTTTGTGAACAACCTATAGTTCATTAAAACTATGTGAACCTATCTACTTAACATGTTTTTTGTGTCAGTTGTTATCATTAAACAACGATAAAAAATAAAATAAACGCAAAATCTATGACTTTGTGTAAAATCACTCAATAAAAATTCAGTTCAAAATGTTCAACACTGATGGAAAGTTGTCACAATGAGCAGAAGGTTTAATGTACCATTGTTTTCTTATGCAGCACTAATCCACTGCTCAGGAATACATATTACAGCTTTTACTGTAGTGGGTACATAATATTAAGTTTAAGTTCAGGAATGTTTCTTAATATTGAAAACAATTAATGAAATAAACATAAAAAATGTTTAAGTAAATTAACACTTTCTATGTTTTACCAAACCTTATAACACAGTTTAAAACTTAAAAATAATTAAATAAATTAAAATTAATATTATTATTTTGTAGAAAAACATAAGTTTGTTCGACAAGTAATTTTTTGATTAACTATACAAAATGAATACATGTTAGATTTCCAGTAATGATGGCTGAAAGTAGGGGTGCCCAGAAGGTTTCATGGCGCAAATTGCACCATCATAATTTTTAAGAGGACAGTAATAAAATATCTTGGGAGTAGAGGGGAAAGGTTCATGCACCATCGACCATGGGGAGGATAGGCTTCCCTGGCTTTTTCAGCCAGTACTTAGTAGTACTTTCTACTATGTGATTTGTTCATATTCAGGTCTTTTTACTCACATTTTATAAATTATTTCTCACATGAGTATGATTGGATTGTAAAATGAATTTAATTTCAAGTAAGAAAAAAATAGCACTACAATTCACAAAATATATCAATATACAGAAATAACTAAGACTTGAAAAAGAAAAAACAGTGTATTAAACAAGTACGGATAATGAGAAAAATATAAAAAAATACTAATAAAAACAACCACGTAATAAGAATGTTGAAAAAATAAGAACTTGGCTTGCTGTATAAAGCTATTTATAAAGTAATTTAATACTCCAATGTGACTGAAAATAAAATAAAACAGATACAATAATGAAAAGTATAACATATTTTTATATGTACGTTTAATTTTAATTTTTTTTTTAGTTTCTTGAATGATCATTAAATTGCTAATATTGTATCATAAAGCAGAACTTGTAATAACTAAAATATTAAAAATTAAATAAATAAAATGGTAACTTAAAGACAGTTAATTCTGCCTGGTTGATTTCAAAATGATTTATTGATAAACTGTATAACTTTGTTTAATGTTAGTTAAAAGATAGTTTTTCAATAACTACACTTGTAATTGCAAAGTAAATACTAAGTTATTGATCATTACATTTCTTAATCAATACATCATTATTCCAATGGTCTGACGTAACTCTGTCTTATATATTTTTACAGTATTATCTATTGATTTATGAGTATGCTGTGTTGTTTAGTAACTCAACATAGTTGAGCAGCCATGCAATGTTGTTGTATTGCTCCCTATTATTATTTTATTTATTTATTTTTTAAACAGTTTTAAACTGTTGTTAATTTATGGAAAACCATTGTCATGAGCTTTTGCCTTTTAGGTAGCTGCTCCATGTATCCTCAATAAAATTTACATGTTGATTATTATCATACACAATAGCACTGCAAAGAATGAAATAAACATTGGAATTCACTATATAAAATATTGATATAAAAAATATAGGTTCTTGAATTATAAGTCTCAATGTTCTGCCACATTATACTTCAGTTCTGGCTTTTGTTTTCCTAAACCTAGACTTCTTGCGCCTCGTGAAATATGTTCACTAGCTGGAGCAGAAGGATCCAGTCCGGGATGGTAGTAACCCAATAAAAAGTGACATGTTCCTGCAATATGTGGAGGGAATTCCTTGGGTAAATACTTTCTTTCTCTTGGTTGGAAAGTAAATCCTTCACTCTCTCTTAATAATCTACAAAATAATAAATTAAGTAATATGAAAAAGTAAAATAATAAATTTTCTTGATTGTTATTACTCCATTAAAAAAAAGTTTCCAAATTAGAAAAAATACTCTTAAATTCTATTTAAAAAAAAAAAGAAAATTGTCTGACTTGCAAAGAATTTATAATTAAGAAAAAATTATTAAACGTGTATCAAGTTTCATCAAAATCAGCGGAGTTATTTTTAAGTGCTGATGAACCCACTTTGCCCACTTAATTTACACATGCACATAATTACACATTAAGAAATCGTTAATAAAATATGAGGATAAAAAATAAGTATCAACTTTCTTCAAAATCAGCTAACTCGTTTGTAATTGCTAATGGACCCCTATCACTCATGTGAGTTGGTTTACCACTAAGGAATAGTTAGAATAGAATAGAAAATAATTTTATTCTGGGACGAAGTCCCTTCAGAATAAAGAAAAAGTACAGAAATTAAAATTTTACATCTGGCCAGATAAAAACAAACATAAAAAGTAAAGATAAAGATAAATCAGTAAAAGAACAACAAAAAAAAATTCGTTATACATAATATATACAAAATAAAATAAAATAATCTATATACAAAACTCTCGAAACCATACTAAGATACTTAAAACTATGTACAATGGTAAAATATAAATAAACCCTTTTAGAAAAAATACAAAAAAAAAAATAAATGTAAATTCTTCTTAACAGTAAAATCTGTTTTTCTGTTGAAAAAAAATAAAATAAAAAAAAAAATATGTAATTTTACATAAAAGGTTAGCTGGTATCTGACTGTTTTTGGAACAGGAATTGGAATAGGAGGGTTTTGAATGTAGATAGGGATAAAGAATGTCGGATTTTGATCGGAAGGGAATTCCAAAAATTAACAGAGCGAGCAATAAAGGAGTTTTGGAACGAGGCAGATCTGTGAGAAGGAATGTAAAGGTCAGAAGGTCGAGATCTTGTGGAGAGGGAGTGGATTGAGGACTTGAATTGGAGAAGATTGTAGGCGTAGGAAGGACGATGATTGTTGATGATATGATAGAGGAATGTACCTAGGAAATATTGTCTTCGAATGGAGGGGAAGAGCCACTCTAACTCAGTGTAGTGGTGAGAGACATGGTAGTATCTCGGGGCACCAATTACAAATCTCACGCAACTGTTCATTAATCTTTTCAGTCTGTCGCGGAGCTCCACCGAGAGTCCATCATACACCACACAGCTGTAGTCAAAGTGGGGGAAGATGAGAGAGGAAACGAGGAGTCTACGCGTATGTTGAGGTAGGAGATGGCGGAAGCGATGGAATAGTTTGAGGGTAGAAATTGTCCGTCGGGAGATGTGAAAATATGGTGATTCCAGGAGAGGGTTTGATCAATAAATAGTCCTAAATTTTTTACAGAGGAGTAGAAGGAGATTGGCTGGTCACCAAGGTTTAGTATGGGAAAGTCGGTAAGATTAAGGAGGGGCTTGGAACCAATGACAATGGCCTGAGTTTTTGAAGCATTTAACCTTAATCCGTTTAAGTTTGCCCAGGCACAGATTCGATCTAGGTCTGCTTGGATCTTAGTAAATGCCACCAATAGCTCAGGGGGAGAAAAGGATAGGTATATTTGAGAATCGTCTGCATAAAGGTCAGTCTGGCCTAAGACGCCCTAGTGTGTACATCGGTGTAATTCGTTCATATAATAGACTCAGTTTACTTTAATTTCATTTTCAGTTCAGTTAAGTTCAGTTTTTTTTTCTTCTCTTTTTTAAAAAACACTATTATTAATCACGCTATTAAGTGTCGGATCTCTACAATAATCGGAGTAAAGAAAGCGCAGCGAGATTGATAGAGTTCTGGGAGCAACGAGCTGGCAGGCGTCTACTAATCCTAACAGCATTAGACGTTGTTTACTACCGTCAACAGCCCTGGTATTTATTTATATTTTAATTGCGAAGTAATTCTCATTAATAAATTTAAAAAATGGTGCAGTGTAATATTTGCAACAACTCTATCGCACGTGAAGATAAGAACAATATACACTGCGTTAAGTGTAAAATAATTTTTCATGGTAGGTGCGTCAACCTTACTGATAAAGACACCGAAGTATTAAAAATAATTAAAAAAACATGGGTTTGCTCTAACTGCGAACAGGTGAAAAAACAAAATACCGAGCCGTCCTCCTCAGAAATACTTGCGGCAGTAAATCGTTTAGACGCTACCGTGAACGAGGATATAAAAAACATGAAAACAGCACTCGATAAATACGGAGAGCTCAGTTTTGAATTAAACGAAAGACTGACGAAGATTGAAAAACATCTGGATGGTCAAGCTAAAATGTTTGAGGAGATAATATTAGAAAATAAAGCACTCAAATCCCGAGTGGGCGAATTAGAGGTTCGCTTGAATAACGCAGAGCAGGGACTATTAAGTAGATCACTGGAGATCCGCGGTATACCAGAGCGACCGGGCGAAACGCCCGCTGCTTTGGTGACCAGTATAGGAGCAAGCTTGGGGATCAGGCTTAATGTGGAGGACCTGGACAACGTACATCGCCGCAGAAGCCGAAAAGATGACTCGCGACCACCGCCTGTTATGGCACGCTTTGTCAGGCAATCAATTAGAGATGATTTAATTACGAAAAGGAAAGTGAAGAGGGATTTCTCCAGGGCGGGATATCGGTTGGCAGGAAAATGACTGCCACCGAATTTATCTGGGTGAAGAGATGACTCGCACAAACAGACACCTCTATTGGCTAGCCGGCAGAAGAGAGCGGCGGGAAAAATCAAATATACGTGGTTTGCTTCCGGAAAGGTGCGGTGTCGAAAAGAGGACGGACATAGAGTCATCCTGATAGAACAGGCCTCGGATCTAGATGTATTTGACTGACTATCTAGAAACCGTCAACCCCTTAGCCTCATTAAAATAGTCTTACTTCTTCTCTTAGTGCTATCTCTACACCGTCACTCACCAATCTATTTATTTTTAAGTACCTTCTCTTTATTTATTCTTAATGTTAATATTACTTTTTCTTCACTTAGTTTCATGTACGATAATCGCTTTTCTGTACTTTCTACTCGTTTTGTCTTCTCGCTACCAAACACTGACTGTTTCTCTCCAAATCCACTGCATGTCTAGTTCCCTAATCACATGTCAAGTTAACTCTCAACCCCTTTCTGCCCATTATGACGAATTCCTGCAATACTTTACCCAAAACTTTTATCATATCATAGCAATATCCGAAACCTGGCTCAAACCTTATATTCCATCATCTTCAGTATCCTTGCCTAATTACATCCTGCTCCGTCATGACCGGGTAAACCGGACTGGCGGTGGAGTAGCCATGTTTTTCCACAATAGCCTAAAGACCCGAATCCTCGGTTGCTCCCCACCTTCCGATCATCCTCATGTAGAATACCTCTTAGTAGAAATTCTCAGTAATACTTCTCCTATCCTTTACGCCGTGGTTTATCGCCCTCCTCTCGTGCCATTTGACCCGTCCTTCGAATCAACCCTATTCAACTTCGTTCCCCTCTATCCCAGAATAATTATCACCGGTGACCTCAATACCAATTTCCTCTCAAACTCCAATGACAAATCCTATTTAGAAAATCTGTTTTTCTCACTTCACCTATTCCTCGTTCCTTTTTCCTCCACCCACCACACCAGCAGATCTGACACTTGGCTAGACTTCTACATCATCGACTCAGCACAAATCTCCTCTCCGCCTATCAATTGCCAGTATCCTTTCTTTCATCTCATGATCTGATACAAATAACGTATAATATCCGCACTCCTCCAATCCATTCTCGAACTATCACTTTCCGCTAACTGGATACCCTTACTCGAGAAAAAATATTACCTGATCTAGTAACATTGGATTTGAATGGAATATATCATTGCTCCTCTGTCGACACCATGGTTGATATTCTCACCACTAATCTTCTCAATATACTCAATACCCACGCTCCTCTCAAAACCTCCACTTTCCGTCATCGCCCTGCTCCTTGGATGTGTCAGGAAATTAAGGATCTGCAGAAGAGACGCGACGCTGCACGCAGACGCTTTAGACGGACTAGGGTTGCAGATGATTATCAAACATTCAGAGTGCTTCGTAACACGACACAGACAAGGATCCGACAAGCGAAAGCGAACTACTTTCATGAAGCCCTTTCCTCAGCTCCTGATATCAAATCAAAATGGCTTCTACTTCGTAAGCTTTCCCTCTGTGAACCTTCTAGATCCCCTACCTCAGTTTTCTCAATATCACCTGATGACCTAAACTGCCACTTTATATCGGTTTCCACCTCTTCTTTACCCTCCCCTTCCGGCTTTTCTCCAGAGGTACCTTTTAACGACGATAATTTTTATTTTTCCGACATTTCTCCCACAGACCTTATTACCGTTATAATGAAATCCCGTTCCAATTCCGTAGGCCCAGATGGCATTCCTATCAAACTAATAAAATTATGTCTCCCTGAAATCCTCCCAGCACTCCTTTTCATCTACAATTTCTCCCTGCAGAATTCAATATTCCCGACCTCTTGGAAAAAAGCCATTGTCCTTCCTTTAAACAGAAAGCTTAATCCATCCTCTCCCGAAGATTTCCGCCCAATATCAATCCTTTCCAATCTTTCTAAACCCCTAGAAAGGTTAGTGCAATCCCAAGTTTCCAACTTCCTTGAACAATCCAACTAACTCGATCCTCTCCAATCTGGCTTCCGTCCTGGCTACTCTACACAATCTGCTCTGATTAAAACTACCAGTGATATCCAGACTGCAATAGATGACAAAAAACTAACCGTACTTATACTTCTTGATTTCTCCAAAGCTTTCGATTCCATTATCCATTCCATCCTTTTCAACAAACTAAAATCATTATCCTTCTCCAATAGTTCCATCTCTTGGTTCCAGTCTTTCCTCTCACAACGAACTCAAGCAGTTCCCATACCTAATCAACCTCTATCTGCCTACCTTCCTTTATCCTCAGGAGTTGCACAGGGTTCAAGCATGTCTCCTCTTCTTTTCAGTTCTTATATTAATGACTTAAATGATTCAATTATCCATTGTTCCCACCACCTTTATGCCGACGATTCTCAAATCTATTTATCCTTTTCTCCCGCTGAGTTATTGGTGGCATTTGCCAAAATTCAAGAAGATTTAGATCGAATTAGTTCCTGGGCCAACTTAAATGGATTAAGGCTAAATGCTACCCAAAACTCAGGCCATTCTCATTGGTTCCAAGCCCCTCCTTAGATCCCACACCAACTTTCCCTCACTCTATATAAACAACCACCCCATCACCTTCTATCCCTTTGTTAAAAATTTAGGCTTTCTCATAGATCAAACCCTTTCCTGGAATCACAATATCTCTCATATATCCCGCCGTGCAATTTCTACCCTCAAACTATTCCATCACTTCCGCCATCTTCTACCCCAAAATACCCGTAGACTCCAAGTTTCCTCTCTCATCTTTCCCCACTTTGACTACAGCTGTGTGGTGTACGATGGCCTCTCGGTGGAACTCCGTGATAGACTCAAAAGACTTATGAATAGCTTCGTAAGATTTGTAATTGGGACCCCGAGACGCTCCCCTTCTCCAATTTAAGTCCTCAATCCATTCACTCACTACAAGATCCCGACCCTCTGACCTATACATCCCTTCTCATAGATCTGCCTCATTCCAAAATTCCTTTATAGCCCGCTCTGTCAACTTTTGGAATTCCCTCCCGATCAAAATTCGACATGCCCCTTCCCTGTACACATTCAAAAACCTCCTATTCCAATTCCTGTTCCAAAAACAGTCAGATACCAGCTAACTATTAATATTATATATATATTGTGTAGCAATCATATAATCATAACACTTGGTAAGAGATAGTACATGCATTTCCTACTATCGACGTAGGAATTTCAATACATACATTTTTTTTTTGTATTCAATTATAATTAACTGTTTATTTTTATATATATATATTCAAGTAAATTTTTTTTTTTTTTATGAAATGCACTCATTGTATCTCTTTTTCGTTCTTCATTTCTCAAAGTGTATGTTTATGTTGTTCAACCCTTAAATATAATTTTATTCATAGTTCAAGTGATTCGTTCATAGTTTTAATTGTTTTGTTCATAATTTTAAATGCTCTGTACATAGTTTTATCTGTATTGTATTTAGCTTGTGCACCTAAGGTTTTCTTTACTTTTTATTTTATTTTATCAATTGTATTTATTGTTTCAACGTTCAGACCAGTAATATTCTATTATTTTGTACATTATTGTTATTCTGAAGGGACTTAGTCCCAGAATAAAGTTTTTTTTTCTATCTATCTATCTAAAGGTGGTGGGAACAATGGATAATTGGGTCATGGAGGTCATTAATATAGGAACTAAAAAGGAGAGGATATGCTAGATCCTTGGGCAACTCCAGAGGATAAAGGCAGGTAGGCAGATAGTGGTTGATTAGGAATGGAGACTGCTTGGGTGCGTTGTGAGAGAAAAGATTGGAACCAAGAGATGGAGCTATTGGAGAAGGAAAGTGATTTTAGTTTGTTGAAAAGGATGGGATGGCTAATGAAGTCGAAGGCTTTTGAGAAATCAAGAAGTATAAGGACAGTTAATTGTTTATTATCTATTGCAGTCTGAACATCATTGGTAAATTTGATTAAGGCGGATTGTGTGGAGTAGCAGGGACGGAAACCAGATTGGAGAGGATCAAGTTTGTTGGACTTTTCGAGGAAATTGGAAACTTGGGATTGCACCAATTTTTCTAGGGGTTTTGAGAGATTGGAGAGAATTGAGATTGGGAGAAAGTCTTCGGGAGAGGATGGATTAGGCTTTTAATTTAAAGGGAGCACAATAGCTTTTTTCCAAGAGGAAGGGAATATTGAGTTCTGTAGGGAGAAATTGTAGATGAAAAGGAGAACTGGGAGGATTTCGGGGAGACATAATTTTATCAATTTGACAGGAATGCCATCTGGTCCTATGGAATTGGTGTGGGATTTCATTACTGCGGTTAGTAAGTCAGTCGGGGAAATGTCGGAGAAATAAAAGTCATCATCATTAAATGATGACTCAGGAGCAATGTTGGAAGAGGAGGGAAGAGAAGAGGTAGAGGAGGCAGAAATAAAATGTGAATTTAAATCGTCAGGTGAAACGGAAGAAACCAGTGAGGAAGGGGATCTGGAAGGTTCACAGAGGGAAAGTTTGAGAAGGAATAGCCATTTAGATTTGGGATCTGGGGCAGATGAAAGGGCTTCATACAATTCATAGTTAATAGGCCCATACAAAGCATCTGTCTCATGTTTCATCAGAATCTGTCAAGTTTTTCTAAAGTTGTGCCATTATTTAGTACTGATCACCCCAACCAATCTTCTCTTTGATAAACACTTCTATTTGAAATATGGTAAAATGTTTGACTAGTGAGATGCTTAATTTTGTATTTAAATTCTCTATATAGACTCCTGCACTCATTAAGCCAGTCAAATCTTTCTTAAATTCATCAGAGTTATACAGTAGGTTGTCTTTCTGAGTTAAAATTGAGCTCTGTATCCAATCTGTAAGACTGGGTACAACTAGCTAACCTTTAATTTTTATTAGCAATCAGCTTTTGTTTCTAGATCTATATCACGCTAAAAAAAACACAATTTATACACCATATATAAATAACAATAAAATAAATAGTAATAATCAGTATCAACAAAAAAATAAAGAAGTAAATCAAAAATAATCAAACAATAAATAATTAACAACCTTATTAACTGAAAAAATATCGTGGTTACACATTAGAGGTTAAGATTCCGATTCGAATATTGTGACATTTTAAGGCCTACTACTTCAACCAATACAATCCCAGTATGAATAACGATATACATACAAATTAACAATCTTGAGCTTACTAATAGCAACTTCAAAAATGTACAGTGGTGTGAAAAAGTCTTTGAACAAACCAAGTTTTTTCAACAATGAAATAACAATGAACAATGAAAAATTTTAAAAGTGTTTTTATCTTCTTAGTTCTAAATTGACTTAAACGATTATGCATAAATTTTAGTCATATTATATATTTAAATTAGCATCATTTTCAATTAACAACAAACCAAATGATCAACTCGTTGTGTTGTTTTTGTCCTCCGAATAATACTACTTTATTGTTCATTTCTCACTACTTTGTTATCCACTTCAGTCTTTGCTCTTTATTGTTGGCATGAAGAGCCATTATATAAACTTTAGAAAACTTAGTGTATTTGGGAACAATGTTCTAATATTGGAATTCTTCACTTTTTTCAGTAATTCAAATTAAAATTCTATATTTCATAAAAGATGTTCTTGGAAAAGAGACTTTAATAAGTATCAGTTGAAAAAAAGTATATTTCATATTTCAAAATTTCTGTTGTTTTTTTTCTATTTAATGTTACTTTTATTTCAGGAAATAGCAAAATACCATATTTTTTATCGTTATCTTGCTAAAAAGTAGAGATAAAGTTCTGCTCAATCAAATAAAGCCCAGATGAAATTTAAGGATGCTATGGTACTGTTTTGCGTACAGTTTTCCATCTATTCACTAGAGTTCTCCTACTCCAGATATAGAAACTCACCCCCAAACCTTAAAGAAGCCACATCCATGTTTTACAGTTGGCTGCAAACATTCATTCAAAAATGTCACTCCAGATCTTCTGTAACATATTGTCTCCTTCTGAAACCAAACTTTTCAAATTTTGACTCATTTCTCAATAAAAAATTGTTCCATTCTCCTTTCATATAATTTTCGTGTTCTTTGGCAAACTGAAGTTGCTTTCGCATGTTTATTGAATGAATTCCAGAAATAGAACTTTCAACTTCTTTTTGAATTTCCCAGATTGTAAGTCCTCGTTGATACAAAATTATAATTTTATGTTGGTAAAACAATATGGTATTATGAAATTTTCTAAAACAAAAGTAACATTAAAAAGAAAACAAAAGAAATTAAGAAATATGGAATGTTATATAAAATTACTGAAAAAAAGGGGTAAATTCCAATATTCGAACAATTTTCGCAGATACACTCAGGTTTCTAAAGTTTATACAACGGCTCTTGATGTTAAAAATGAAGAGTAAAGACTGAAATGTATAAAAAAGAAATGAAATGTGAACAATAATATAGCATAATTCAGAGGATAAAAAACACAACCGATTGGTCCCTTGGCTTGCTGTTAATTGAAAATAAGGCCAACTTAAATATATATTACATCTACAATGTCTGCATGGTTAAATAAGTTTAAATTTAAAAAGATAACACTTTTAAATTGGGGCATTTATCATTTTTATAAAAATTTGGTTTGTTGGAAAACTTTTTAACACCACTCCATTATATACATATTTATTGTATATCTCATAGTTTATTTACTTTTTGTTTGTTTCTTGATAGTTTGTTGGTGCCGGTAATTATTTGTTGTTTTAGCTTGATAAAGGTCTAGAGACTGAAATTGGCTGCTAAGAATAATATAAAGTGATCAGGAAGACAACATAATTTTACTCATGGTAAAGCTGAACAACTCAAGAAAGAACCTTGTGAGGTTATGCTTATGGAGAGAAAAGCCTTTCTCCCTCTAAATAACTTCGGACAGCTGACATGTCAAATATCCTAAAGAAAACCATTCATTTGTTGAACTATAACTGTGAATTTTGTTTTATGGAGTGGTTTAAAATAGGAGAAATATAGAGATGGTTTTACTTAATTAAAACTGAAGTAATAAAACATTATTAATAAATTATTGTTACTTACTCATGTGTAGTAGGGCTTATATTTATCCTTAGAGGTTGTGATCCTGACTCAAATTTGTTTGTCAAAGTTACATTGTGACCAAAAAGACAATATCGTGGCATTTTAACACCTACAACTCCAGCCAATACAGTCCCAGTGTGAATACCGATACGCATCTGAAATATGTTTATAAAAATAAACATTAAATATATTTTGTTGATTCATGGTTCTTTAGAAGAACATGAATAAATCTTAACTTATTTTTAATATATTATTAAATAAATTCAATATTCAATTCCTAAATAACATAATTTAATGATAATAGGGATGAGATAGCGTGCATGGAGTTATAATTTTTCAGTTTGGCTCCAAGCAGTATTTGCAAAACTAGGAAAATAAATAAATAATCATTTTAATTAGAGACCCTTAATAATACAAGTCTATTGATTTATTAACAATGACATGTAAAATATATTTTATTATTTTTGTTTTTTTTACAATATTGCGCGATAGAGAATATTATGGAGTTGAAGAAATACTTTTTTTTATTAAGTTGGGTGCTAAGTAATCATCACTAATTATTAGAATATCATTGTTAATTTCACCATTATTTATAATTGTGCTTAGAGATAAATAGATGATTAATAAATGATTGGCTACATCTACAAGATATGACTATGAAATTAATTAAAATAATTAAATCATACTGAAAACCATTTAAATAATAAAATAAATAAAATCATTTTTTATATACATGTGAAAGCTGTTTTCCTGTTTGGATGTGAAAATAGAAAATAAAATTATTTCTAGAATGCAGACATTTTTCAGCAGTTTTTTTTGGGTAACTTAATCAAGGATAATCCTATCTGGAGCAAAAATCAATTGGTCTATATGTCAAAAGCAGAGAATTGGAAAAGCTAGAGCACACACAGCAGAGAGCCACACACTAAGAAAAAACAACTATGCAAGAACATTATTATGAAACTATTGGATATATTTATTTATTTGTTCTTAATAAAAACATGTTCAAGCTCACCTCTATTGTTTTTCCCTCATGGTCATGGTGAGTAGGACAAACATCAATCATACTTAATGCCATCCAGGCAATTCTTTGTGCATGGTTAGAATCTTCTGGTTTTTGTATACCCGCTGCGACACAATAAGCATCTCCAATAGTCTCAACCTACAGGAATGTTATTTGTAATGATTAATGAAGTTACTTAATGTGTAGTATATTTATTAAAAAATGTTTTTTATTTGAAATATGATATTAAGAGAAATGCATCCATACCATGAAATAAAACAGTTTCACAATCTATTACACAGTCACTAAGACTAAAAAACAGACAGATAAAATGGTTTTATTGTATCCTAAGATTTTAGGTATATTTGGAAGTAGAAGCAGTAGTAATCATAAAGAAAATTTGAAGTTAGAACAGAAAAAAGAATAGTCTTAGTATAAGCATTATTGAGACCCTGTAGAAGAAGTAATTTGCTGGTAACAGAGGATACTTGATCCAAATTCCCATTTTAGATACCTTCAAGCAGCACTACTTAGCTATGTTGAAAAATTTAATAATTATTACTTTAGAGCTAAAGCCCTCAAGCTAGTTCTGGCTTCCATTTGCATCAATTGCCAAGAATTTCTGTCGCTAGTTGTTGTCCAGGTGTTCCCCACAATATGACCATCTTGGTCTGATGACCTAGACATTTGAGCAATGTATCTGTCGTCAGCCGCTCAAAAAAATGCAAGCATATTCAGTCAGGCAACATCCTAGCCCAGTGGAGACTTTATCTCTAGCATTGTTTTATCTACATTGTCATATTTTTCATTATTATTCAATATCTGCCATTCACTTTAATTATTACCAGGGACAATGATTCATTAGAGAACTTTTATTTAAAAAATGTGTAGTTTACTGCCATCTCCCTTTGAGGAGGACCAAGTTATATTACAATGAGATTTTTACTTTTACTTTTTACATTTTGATATAGGACTCCACCTGGACAAACGTCTAACTTGGAATCCTCATACCAGATTGAAGCGACAAGAAACAGCTCGACGTTTCCGACTACGTCAACACTTACAAGACAAACGCTCTAACCTTCCAATTAACTATAAAAGACTAATTTACATGACTATAATAAGGCCTATTTGGACTTACAGAGTTGAGCTATGGGACTCCACCAAACCTTCAAATTCCTCTCGCATCCAATCCTTACAATCCAAAATCCTTCGTAAAATCCTCAATGCTCCTTACTTTGTTACAAATAAAATCATCCATAATGACCTTAATGTTCCTTATGTATCAGATTTGGCCCAATCCAGATATCTGTCCTTCCATAATAAACTTCATAACCATCCCAACCCTCTTGTTTCTAACCTTGCTTCCTATTCAATTCCTGATAATCCTCCGAGGCGTCTGAAAAGAAGATGGCCACGTGATCTCCTAATATAGACATATTATTAGAGTGCTACCAATGGGTAGTTTCTCAACATGTGTTTCATGTCATTATATCCATGTGCGAATTTACTAGATGTATTTTTTGTATACAGTTGTAAATATCATATAAATAAATAAAAAAAATAAGTATTACAAAAGAAAAAGAAAAAGAAAGTATTACAATTGTGATAATTTTCAAATCTGAGTTTACAACGGAAATGCATGTTTTGAAGTCCTCTGAGCTCAAATAACCAAGTCCCAAAAAATTGTGTGTGTGCGTTAACAGTCTATCTTAAAAATGAAAAGTCGTTCGCAATTGAAATTGCATATTTAAAGTTTATACATTCCTGGTTGAACTGGTGTTCCCTCAAAAGTTGACCAGACAGATAGAGATGATCATCGAAGGAATCTGCAGCACGGTCAAAGTTCAAGGAGATTATTCAAGAGTAAAAGGTCTATGCTAAGTTGATGGATTGGCATGCCTGTTGTTCATACTGGTCCTGGAGGAGGCAGTTCAAGATTCAGGAATACAGACTTCGGGAACCACCATTCATCTAAGTGTTCAACTATTGGCCTCAGGGAACGATGTTGACATAGTGGCGAGGTAGAGGAAAGCCATGGAGGACATCTTTCTTGCTTTTCAGCCGGCATCGCTGAATATTGGTCTAGATGATAACGAGACCAAAACCAAATACATGCTGGTGAATGGTGAGGATAACTAGGTAAACGTCCCAGCTCTCACATCAGGAATTTTTTCTTTCGAAATAGTCCCAAATTTCGTTTATCTGGAAACTCTAGTCACCTCATCAAATAACGTGCCCTTCGAAATTAGCCAACGGATCACGGCAGCCTACCGTTTCTATTTTTAGCTCACAAGGAAGATGAAAAGCTACCCGCTCACCATAGAAACCAAGGCACAGCTGTATAAGACTGCGATAAGGCCATTTTTTTACTTTTACATACCTATATATGAAGTATATAGTAAAGTATTGCGATCGTGAAAATTTTCTAATCTCAGTATTCAATGGAATTACACTCTTTGAGGTACCTGAGTCCAAATAACCAAACGAAAAGTCGTATGAAAGTGAAATTACATATTTATGGGTTTTATATGCTAGGGATGTCACAGAAACTTTTTCGTCAAAATCGGCTAACCGGAAGTGACACTTTATATAATGGACACAGTTTTACGATTTTCTCGAAAACGGCTCTAACGATTTTGATAAAATTCATCATATTAGTGTAAAATTAAGCAGTTTTAAATAAAATGTAGTTTTTATTCTGGTTTATGTTCTCTAACAGGGCTTAAATGGGTAATTTTCAATTTTAGCTTCCCCTAAAGTACCTTTAATTTTTTTTTTTAATTTGAAATAATTAACCATTTTACATTCATCTTTAATACAAAAAATAGTTAAATATATAATATGAAAAAAATTGATAATTAACTAAAGGAGAAATAAAAGATCGTAACGGAGAATAGTTGTAATTGAAGAACCAAAGGAATACTAACGCACCCGAGCTAGCCCGAAAGATTATAACATGCTTCTATAGGTAACATGAGCTTAATATAATAAGGACACCGACAATATTATGTAAATATACATATGCGGTTTTCATAAATGCTATTGTTGATATTATTTAATATTTAATTGTATATATTACAGCGATATAAATATTAAAATTTGTATATTTAAGGGCACCTATACAAATAAATATACGCACAATGAAATAATAATAAATATAGCGTCTATAATTTTTACTTTCACTTCCTCTTTGTCTGAAAACATCTGTTTCTTCTAAGAAGAGGGCGGCAAGTGAAAGTTGTGTGATGCGCGCACCGCCTCAGATTTTTACATATGCTTCGTTTCACAAATCTGGACACTAACTAAAGCAGATGAAAATGGTCTGCTAATTTAAAAAAAAAAATATTAAGAAGAATATATGGCTCTGTTAGAGACGGTGAAGCATGGAGATGAAGGAGGAACCATGAACTCTACAGCTTATACGGTGATATTGATGTAGTACGGTTCATAAAGGAGGGCAGGCTCAGCCAGACAGGACACGTTGCACACTTGGCTGAGAAGAGGATACCCAGAAAAGTTATGGGTGGGGTGCTGGACCGAACAAGGAGAAGATGAAGACCCAGGTTGAGATAGATTGATGGTGTGGCAGACTCGAGGACGATAATGCACAAACAGAACTGGAAAGTGGAGGCGAGAGACTAAGTTAGATGGCGGAAGATCTTAGAGGAGGTGGCCAAGACCTACCCCTGGTTGTAGAAGCTATTGAAGTAAGTAAGTACATGCTTGGGATGTTTTAGCAACTTTTTCATCAAAATCGGCTAACTGGAAGTGCCTCTTTATATAATCGATTTTATACATTTTTAAAATTTTCTTGAAAATGGCTCTAAGGATTTTGATTAAATTTATTATATCGGGGTAAAAATAAGTTTAAAAAAAAGAAACAGCCGAGAGGGCCCGACTTTTGACGATCCCCTCCCTTTACCGATACCTGATACCACTCTTTACAGGGTGTTTCATATTTTTAGTTTAACTTTTGTTTATTATTTATCCATAATTTTTAAACAAAATTTTCACATGCAATATTGAGGATCTACTAATATAAACCTAATAATATACAATATTTACTAACATTAAGTTATTCTTTGACGAATTAAGTTAGTTTTTAGTTCAAGTGGAAGTCTTATTGGGCTATTAAAGTTGAGTCATGCTCAAGGAGATGAAAAAAAAAAGAAAAAGAAAAAACCTACAGACCCACCATAGGCAGTTAGTTATTATAATTATTCCATGTTTTCAGTAATATAATGATAAATAATAATGTCACTTATTTTTGTTATTATTTATATATTTTATGGATGGTTTTTGAGCCTCTCAGGCTAATTAACAAAAATATCAGTTGGGATAACATAGTTTAGAAAATAGAGTATTGCTATTCCAATGTTTTAGTGCATATGCATTGAATTTTATGTTATTTTTTGTTAGTTTCAACAAAAGAAATTTGAATGAATTTTTGAAGGAAATTATTCGACTGTTCTACATATCATAGGTGATAAATATAAAGGGCGCAGTCATTTTTAAGATTTTTATTGGTGCCGACATTTCAACCCAAGCACATGGGTCATCAAGGCATGTTTCCAGGACTGATGATGACCCACATACCTAGGTTGAAATGTCGGCAACAATAAAAATCTTTAAAATTACTGTGGCCTTACTATTTATCACCTATGACAGCAATTTGAATATGCCCTTATTGAATATAAACTTATTGGGACTTGGGGCTAATCTACATATATACTAATTATTTATTTATTTTTTGTGTCTGTTCTTCAATATTTCCAACTATTTATTTTATATTAGTGATCCTACTTACCCTATGGTTCAAATAGTAATGATCCAAAATGAGGAGTACAAAATAATCATTAAATACATATGATATATTAATATAAAAGAACAAATAAAATATATAATAAAATATTTTTAATACCTTGTATACATCAAATTGGCTGCAGAAATGATCAAATTGTTTGTATAGGCGTTCAAGCATATTACAGACCATAAATGGTGTAGCAGTTGAGCAGATTGAAGTGAAGCCTACTATATCGCTGAAAAGCATAGTTACACTTTTGTATGTTTCTGCTTCAATGGACCTTCCTGTTTGAACACAATTTATATGTATTGGATATTACACACACATATATATATATATATATATATATATATATATATATATATATATGTATATATATATATATATATTAAGAAAAAGAAATGCTAATGAAATATTTAATTATTGATCAAATTTAAAATATTTTTAATCATTAATGACTATATAACAAATAATATTTTTATTCAAAGTTAAGACATTAGAATTATATGCCTCCAGCTTAAAGGAATTCTAAAAAGCTCTTAACATTCCTGAAATCTATGTCTCCATAGAAAGTTTCAAAGGTCTCTTAAAATGTCTCTCAATTGTATCTAACTATTCACATATTATTGTTTCTTTATTGAAATCTTTTTTTTTTTAACTGTTTGATTTGTTTATACAAAAACATTTTTTCAAACAATTTTTGTTGAGCAAATATAAGGATATTTGAGACTTGAACGAAAGTATACTTTTTTGAATTCTTACATTTGAACTATGAATGAAAACCATCATCCTCAAAGCTCTGTTCGAAGGTGAAAACTCAATTGTCAGAATTTGTGCCAAATAATAAAAATATAATAGCAATTGTTTTTTAGTTCAAGTGGAAGTCTTATTGGGCTATTAAAGTTGAGTCATGCTCAGCCAGATGCAAAAAAAACAAAAAAAAACAACAGATCCACCATTTTTACTATTTACCAACGAAAAGCCTTTCACATAATTAATTTGTTGTTTATTAAACATGAATAATTGAAAAAAAATTAATATTAATTATTTTAATTAAACAGGAAGTGCCTATTGGTTATGACAGTTAGTAATAAACAATCGATTACCAAGCCATAAGCGTTCTGCTATGTCAGGTGGAAATATTAGGTGTAATAATTGCACATTTCTCTCTCTTTCTCTGGAAACTGCATCACTGGCTTCTTCGATATAACTTTTGACTTTATCCAATCTTCTTCTTAATCCATCCTAAAAATTTGAAATTAAATTAAAGCAGACTATAAATGACAAACTTGCATTAAACTAAAGAAAAACACCTTTTTTTCAAATGTTTATAGATAATTAAATGTAATTAATACATGCTTATTTAGCTTTTTGAACTAATAAATTAGGTTTATAACTGTGTTATGATATTTTAGATAGTTTAGTTCTATCTTTCTGCTTTAAAGTAGATGTTTACTTATGTTTTGTCATAGATAATGAACCCTTAAATCTTTCATTTTCGGGTTGAAGCCCTCCCAAAATAGAAAAATAACTTTTTTTTTCACTGGTTCATATTAGTTACTGTAAATTATATCATCTGAATTCTTATAACAATATAACAATATGTTATATTTTTTAAACTATAATGCATATGAAGCTAAATATAACCACTTCTTAAATATTTCTTACATCACCTGAAAAAATATCTCATTTAATAATATATATAAGTATTATTGTTCATGTCATTAAATTTTTAAAAGAACTTCAAGAATCACTTAAGCACCATTTCATATAGGTCTTTCTTTTATTTCCAGGGAATTATCGTTTGTTTTATATATATATATATATATAAAACAAATGATAATTACCATGAATATATATATATATATACGGAGTGTTGCATGATTAAGTGGCCAAACTGCAAAAATGAACTAAGGACCAAAAAACAAGAAAAAAATTTCCTCTGAAGATATGTCCACAAACACTTTGTTTAGGAGATATTCTCACCTAAGTATTTTCTATTTTATGAATTATTTACGTTATATGAAATAAATAAAACCTATTTATTTGTTATAACTACTTTATTAATTAAATGTAAACATTAAGACATCCTCGGCATCTTCACCGGCATCATCACCAGCAGCAGTGGCAGAACGCCGTTTATTATTGTTTATATATATATATATTTAAAGATTGTTCCTGATTGAAAATTAAATCCCAGACCTGCTAATTCCATATTTTAATTACAATGTATTTACAATACAACATAAAAAAAAAAAGTTGATTTAATAAATAACACCTTTTACCTGTGCTCTTGCTTGTTCTCCTACAAGAATGACATCTCTAGTAGCATCATGCAGTGGGATGTCTGATATAAAAAGTCCTTTACTGTTCAAAATCTCTAAGCCATCAGCGCATGGCGTGCCAATATAAAATAATGTGTTAGATTCAGCACATAAGATCATTTGCCCTTTCACTTCCACCTCCTACATTAAAAATATATATATATATATCTTTAAATTTTAAGTAAATGATTAAAACTAAAAAAAAATATTAAAGTTTATTATGATTTTATATTTATTGTTTTCATTGATTAAATTTTCACAACTCTTTAATAAAATATGATTTAAAAAACAACCAGTAATTACACTGCACACATTAAAACTTTTAAAAGTGCTATACAAAGTTAAAAAGTGCTAAAATATGTTGAACAGTTCCTTAGTTTTGTGTTAAATTTTCAATATATTTTGAAATTCTACTCCTGTTTTGTGTATAAATTGTTTCTTCTTTCTTCAAAGTAGCATGTTGTTATAAGTAATAATCAATTGACAATTATTATTGTTTACTTTTAATGTTATGTTGCACCTTTGGATAAATATTGATAAGTGCAAAGTTAGGAATTGCTGAGAATGGTAATTTAAAGTTTTAAAAACAATGTCTTCCAAAAAATGAGTTTCAAATTGTACTGTATAATAAAAGTTATTTATATTTATATAAAAAAATATTTATATTTTACTATTTATGGAATTTTCAGAGCTTTTTTGTTGTTGCAACAAATACCTCTTTATAAAGCAGTGAAATGAGCTTGCAAAAGTATGATTATTTTCAAAACAGTTTACCACATAACGAATAAATGACATTTTTGGTATGTTTCTATGTTAACACTAGAACGACAAACTTAAATATGTCAACTCATTCTTACACTCTGGGGTGTGGTACACTCCAAATATTAAATTATTATAAAATTTAATTGTCCTGGTCTGGAAAATTCAAATACTTTTCAGAAATAAGCTAAATTATCAGGAAAACAAAAAGAATTAATGAATTCAAGGCAATCTTAGAGAATATATTTTATATGCTCACATAAAGTAAAAAGGTAACATCTACATCACTAAAAAATGTTCTAGGGTTTATGTACATAAATATGAATGCACTAATTTAGAATAATTAATTTTCTCATAATTGTCCCTAACACAGAGATTATATCATCATGTAAAAATATTCTTTAAAAAATTATATATATATATATATATATATAATATATATATATATATATATATATATATATATATGAATGTTTATATACATAAATTTTCTCGAATATTGTGATGTATATATTTTCTGTACTATACTTTACATTAACTTTTATTTGTTAAATAATATAGTTATTTACCTGTCCATAAGTTTCTTTTAAACTCAAGGTAAAATTAGAATTGGACCTCTTCATTATACCATAAAAATCAATAATAACACCTGAGGGACTTATAAAATCAAAATATGTTGTCACATTCACTCCTGCAAATGAAAATATCTATATTACCATAAACATAATATAACTTTTACAAAAATTGGTTAGCCTCTTCTAGAACAATAATAAAATCAAGTTTAATGTTTATCAAGGATGAGGCTAATGTTTCTTTAAGAATAATGATTTAGGACAGAGAAGTAGTTTTATGATTTTATAGTAGTGAAATATATAAATAAAATGTATAATGTTACCAAAGGAGTCAATGTGATGCCCAATTAATCGTCCGAATCCAATGCCAAGCTGAATAATATCTAGCTTATCATCCAACACCAAATGCCATGGAAATATTTCACAAAAGCTTGCTACAGGTATTGGCAAGTCCTCTGGTAATTCTGAATTTCTTAAGAAATCGAGTGGTTCTTCTTCTTCAATTTTGCGCACATTATTCTGCAGTATGTAACTAAAGTTATAACTGAAAAGCACAGTTTTATGTTTTAAAGTATTAAGAAAATAGCAACAAAAAAATTTAATCATGATTATATTGATATTGTTGACAATAGACTTAATCAAAAAGAAGATTTTGTCAAGAAGGTTCGTCAAGAAAGAAATACAGCCTAAGCTAATTCTTTAACATCTCATGCTCATGTGATGTATCACACACATTTATTTACTACCCTGCTTTCAATAGAAATTAATTTTTTTTAAGTTAATAATCATAAAGAATATTATATGTAATTTAAATACAAACATATGACTATTACTATAAATTATGACAATTGTGTGCTCTATATATTTTTGGTTTATCAAGCTGAAGACTTGGAAGTAGAAGAAGCTGCTTTCTAGCAGAAATGTAAAGAATCACCCTTGTCCACGAAAAATTTAGAAGATCTGAGGCTACTCATTGCCTCGTACACAAAAACCTTTAATTAGAATTATCAAATTAAAATACTAGTTTTACTTAAGTTTATACCCCCTTTGTTATATAAGTTTAAAATAATCCTTTCTTTTGTACACAAAATAATCACTATTTTATAAATTCTGTTTAGTTAACATTAACAGTAAATTAATCTGGGTATTAGTTCAAGTGAAAGAAACATTGAATATTATAGAAAAAAAAAACAAAAAAAAAACATTGAAGTAGTTGTAGATTGCTTAGAAGCATTAATTTAGAAAGCTGAATGTCAAATGTGTGTATTCCTTTAGTTATCAACACGTTCATAGCTGAATCACATTATATTTTTGACAACAGATGTAATAGTTTTTAATTTTAGCTCCTTATATTATTGTATTTGTCAAATGTTTCCAGCCATTGGTAAATATTGGGTTGAAAAAAGTGATTTTTTTTTTTTCATGTTTTTCAAAGCGAATATATTTATATAAATTTTAAATGCTATTTTGATCGATGACCTTTTGCCACTTTTCTAGTTATACAATACGTCCGTCACTAGTAGTTCAGGTATTTCTGGGAAAAACTGAATCAAGTGATTTTTACAATCCTCTTTTGATGCCAGCTTTGCATCATTAAAAGAGTTCTGTAAAGACAAAAAAAAAAAAAAAAAAAAAAAAAAAAAAAAAAAGGTTGTGAGACGGCGCAAGGTCCAAGCTATACGATGGATGTATCAAAACTTCACAGCCAAGTTCTCTCGATATTAGCAGGGCCATTAAATATGTGTGTGATCCAGCGTTGTCGTGATCGAAGGCAACGCCTTTCCTACTGATCAATTCTAGTTCTTCCGTTTTTTTAGTTTTTTTTTCTAGAATCGCTTGCTTCAATCGCACTATTTGTTCACAGTTTAGAGTTAAGTTGATGGTTTGGCCAGGTTTGAGCCGCTCACGATGAACCATTCCTTTCCAATCCCACCAAACACTCAACATCACCTTCCTTGGCGTCAATCCGGGCTTTGCTACTGTTTGTGAAGCTTCTCCCGGCTTTGACCACAATTTTTTCGTACATTATTGTCGTACGTGATCCAATTTTTATCACCCTCGTACTCATTTGTTTAAAAAATGGCTCGATTTCGTTTCGTTTCAGCAGCAGTTCATAAATGTAAACTCGATCCATTAATTTTTTCACAGTTAATTCATGTGTAACTCAAGTATCGAGCTTCTTTTGGTATCTAGCCTTATGTAAATAGTTCAAAACTATTTTCTGATCGATGTTTAGTTTAGTAGCGATGTCGGGAGATGAAATATGCCGGTCTAGAATATTTGAACAATTTCATCGAATTTTTCAATGATTGGCCAGCCAGGGAGAGGTTCATATTAAACATCAAAATTCTGACACTTACGTTCGCTTAATGTACATCGTATAACATCATATAATTCCTATGCATTGTTAACTTTTCGGAAGTAAAACAGTAAAATATGACCTTCTGGAACCTCCATTTTTAAAATGCAATAACTGTTGACTGAGTAAATGAATGATGTTATTTTTATATATAGAATGCTGTATGGACTGGGATCTTTCAAACGCACCATAGAATGGCTTCATTGAATAAGGATTACAAGAGATAAGAGGCTTTAAAGTCACCTATTGGGATAAAACGAAATTACTTTTTCCTCAACACAATATATAAACCTTACCTCTGTTCTTTTTCTTCAGTGATGGATAGATCAAAATCAGCATTACAGTTATAAACTCGGTTAGCTACAGCTTTAAGGCTACCGAGGAGAAAATAACCAGCTGAGGGTTTATTCGTCATAAAATTCATTATTATCTTTGGTCCATCTACTTCACCTTCATCGTCTTTTTTAGAACAGCTTGCTTCTGCTTCAAAGCCCTTCTCTTTTGCAACTTTGATTGCCTGAAATACACATGTTTCATAAAGTAATAGTTACACATTAATCTTTATTTATAGTCCAAATTTATTAATAAAAACTATTAGGCCCGTGAGAAAAGTTCGCACAGCATATTGTTATCAAATGGTAAATTAATAAGAAAATAAAATAATGCAACGTATCAAAAGATAAAGAAAGCAATTGTCACTTTATCGATAAATATAATCGACAAAGCAAAACAAAAATTAATTTAAATCCTCATTAATTTTTGGAACCAACATGTTTACAAATTACAATAAGCTTTATCTTTTCTAAAAATTGTCCGATTCTTTTTATAGATAATTTATCAATATTTTAAATAATCATCGACATAACCAAGGGGAAAGAGTGTAATGGTTTAGTTATTCGCAAATAAAGTTAGTTTCCTTTCATAACTTGTTTGCCTGAATTTTCGAGGTGATTGGACTATTTAGAGAGCCTGAAGGAGAAGGAAGCCTTCGAAATTGGTGGCTCAATCTTGAGATTTGGTGAAGAATTAACGATGATATGGCTTGCCGTTCAAAAACACCATTGATAAATAATATAAACTCCTCCTATAGCGATCATAGAGGCCTCAAGTTGACGAAATGAGACATATATTCAATGACAGTACTATAATTCATGTAAGGTTGTGTGGATGCGAACCCTATGCCTTGCATTTTCTCGAAAATAGTTCGTTTTTGGACTTACAAATGCAGGATCCGATAGTTCCGAAGAAACCATCAGGATCTTGCTGTACGCATCTTCAAGGTCCAATTTGTCCCGTTTCGATCTACAGACCTACCACCGTTCCAGTATTGAAGCCTAGCAAAATGTTTGTATCGACTTTATTTATTTTAGAAAGAAAAACGAAAGTGGAGAATACGATTCGCTAACCCCCCGTGATATTCTGAATCCAACGGTACCCCATTCACGGTATTTGAGCATGACAGGAGCTTATATTTGGTATAAAACCGATTTCGATCCTTATTGTAATAATATATGTGGAGATGGGGATGGTCTGTATAAATTATTAATATACTTTTTAAAACTATGTTACTTGATTTTAATTAGTTATTGAAATAATTAAATACCATTTGGATTGCTTAAGGTTCAGAAATAGTTTTCTACTTGTAGGGTGAATTTATTGAAATTTATTTAAACAATAAATATGATGAGATAAATCTGTTGCTAGAACTGAATTAAAAATAAATTAAAAAGCGGTATTTATAATTTATTTTACACTCAATTTTATGCTTATATCAGTGAGCTTAAGAAGGGTGAACAGCGTTGTTCTTTTCTTTTTTTTTTTTCATACTTTTAAATTTGGAAAAACAAATCCATTTTCAAAGAATTTCAAAATTGTATAAGGCATTGCTTAATAGATTTAAGATTAAAAAAAAAAAAGAAATCAAAATATTTATGTGAAGGGTCTTCATGTACTAAACTAAATTGGCCAATTGACACATAAGTTTACCTGAAGATCTCATATTTGAACAATTGACACATAAATTGATCTGAAGATTCTGTGATTGATGTTCAGTTTATTAAATAATTTATTAAGGAGACAAACTGGTGGTTTGAGCTTAATCTCCGTCAAATTACCTCCAAAATTACCTCCATCAAATTACCTCCGTCAAATATTGAACTCAAGAATCTCCAAAGGTTGCAATGTTTTTTTTTCTTTTTATGAAATAAATTTGAAATTTATTTATATTCTCATAATACAGGCCACAATTCTCAAACATTGTGATGCCCTTCTCAATCCAATAAATGGTGGTGCCATAAATAAAACACATTTTAAAAGCTTATTCTACTCTCAATAATTTTCACAAAGAAAATTTCTCTCCAAATCATTTCTGAACGTCGTTTTTAGTTTGAGGAACTAAATTTAATGACTTTATATAAACCCTAGAATTATTATTATAAATATAGAAGTGGTTGTAAAAAAAAAAAATCATACAATTTACTGCCCAGTTTAATAAAATCATTATACTTTTTCTATTATATCACAATAACCCTAGGGAATCATAAAATAGTGTGACTCAATGGAACTGTTTATTTATTTAAATGCCATATCCAAGAATGAGCTGGGACTGAATAAAGAATTTCTAATCACCTCACAATTCAGTCTTAATTATCTTAAGTATCAAACCAAACAGTAAACAATAGAAAATTGTACTATCACATTTTAAAATTAAATATTGTTAAAGAGTAAGATAATTAGGTCTGTAGATGATTATGCCTACAGAAAAAGTTATGAAGCCCAATAAGATATTGATTCTTGACGCCACTTTTTGTTCAATAATTTGACTTAAGAAACAAAGCAGAATAAATAATGTGATCCTTTGATCTGGCAAGATTAGTATACATTTTTTTTTTGGAATACTTTCTTTAATATTAATACATTCTGCCACATTAAAGGGCATTAATATGAAGGCTGCATGATTCATTCACACAATATGTACAAAATAAACAATAAATAAAAAATACAAAATAAAAATACAAAACTTTAAAAAAAATACAACTAATATTTCAGTAATAAAGAAAAAGAAATATAAAAAAATGAAATAAGTTGATATGCCTGTGCTAAAAAAAAAAATGTAATAATAGATAAAAGCTAAATGAAACTAAAGTAAATAAAACACATTCACACCTATGTACAATATTTGCATTCACCCAGGGGACCCTGAGTCATGCCTTATCTCCCGATGTGGAAGCCAAGGCAGGACTCCAGGAGATCCCAGTGCTTCTATCTCAGCCGCGTCACTGTTATTTGAAACCAGTGGAAACTAATGGAGGGCACTCACTACAGCAACAGACGCTCATGTCTTGAGTGGAGAATCTGGCCATTGCCAGTACTCCAATATATACATATTTACGAAAGGTCGCGGGGCTCCTTGCCGTTTTAACCTCCGGGGAGGATTGTAGGGATGGCTGGAGCTAGATAGGGATTGTGCTACGGGATTTGGATGATGAGTGAGGTTCAGTATAAAATAGTTTTTATCATTGCAGTGATGCAGAAGATAGGTTAAATCTGGTAAAAGGATTGGCTTTGAACAGCCTTCTGCTAGAATTTACTATAACACTTAAAATACCTCTAAAACAGTTTATTAAAATATAAATAAAATGGAGGAAACTCACAGATGGATAAAGAAAACACTTATGGGATCCTTCAAGATAACTATTAAGAGTATAAGACAGGATTTGCCTATTTTAATTTTTGGTTGTTATAAGTACCTTTCTTTTCAACATTTGTTTGTTAGAACAGTATTAAAAACTTATCAAGTAGGCGAAGTATGATGTATAAAAAGTTGTGAGGTAGATAAATTGTATGAAAAAAAAACTGCTTTAAATGTTGTACTGCAAAAGGATTGTTTTGAATTTATTCTTTATCTATTTTTCTTTGACCTTTTCTCTATAGATTTTTTTTGCAAAGATTTAGTAAATATGATACAGAAAATAGTATTTAAATTTTTTGTATAAACTTATGTTTTGCATTACTTTACTAGCGATACTGAAGTCAGTCTCAGTATGTAGGCTGTATACGCTCCTTATGGATTTGTTGGCTTCAAACACACTGTCCAGTGTTCTTAAGAATGTTTCATAATCTCCTCCAATTGCTCTGAGAGCTTTTTTCACTTCGTCACTAAACTCTTGAGCTTCTCCCATTTTTTTTACAAAATCACCACGTCTGTCAGCTGTGAATCATAACAAAACCTTATAAATATATTATTATCTCAATGAAAAACACGAATAACATACTAAATATTTTTTTTTTAATTTCCTCTATTAAATAAATGTGAAAAATATTCCTAAAAATACATTACAAAAGTTAATAAATCTGAGATTTATAACATTCTAGAAAGTAAAAATAAATAAATAAAATAACAAGTAAGATTGATAAGATATAAATGTGTATATACTTGTATTGAGGTAGATTTTTCGGTTATTAGAAGGGCTTGGTACTCTTTATTTTTATTTCGCAATAAATGATAAAAGGTAGTTCAGAGAAAGGCCAGAGATGAGAGATTAGGAGTTAGACGTGGGAAAACTGAAGGAGACAAGCCTTCTTTATTTCAAAATATTAATAATAATGAAAATAAGTGGGTGGAAAGACTGGGCGTGGGACAAGCAGATGATAACCAGATACTAATAAAAGGGGATAGACATCTAGTCCGAAGCAATCCATGAGGAAGGCACCACGCAACAATTAATGCCTCAATACCACGTGAGAGACCAAAAAACAAAACAGATGGATGGGTAGAATCAACGAAGATTCTGCAGAAATGCATACGGCGAACTGGAAAGCAGTAATAAAAGAAATGTAAACGTAGAGAAGGCTGATTTTGGCGCTCAAAGATCTGTACAGCCAACAAATAACAAAAAATAAAATAAAAAATGGGGTATAGCTGTTTGAATGAAAATAGTTAGAACCTGGAGAGGAGTATACCTTTTTTAATAGTTACTATATATATTACAGCTTCCGAATGCTCAGTTCCGTAATTAAGCATTTTATAAAAAGAAAATTGCAGAATCTATTCTGATATAAGATCATGTACGAAAACCAGGATTCTTTAAAGGGAGCAAGCTTGATTTTGCCTTCTAATCTTTCATCCCTCTCCCTCCTGAAGGGATTTATTATTATTATTGATTTATGTTTAGTTATTTGTTTAAACGACAGGAAACAATTCTAAAGCACAAAAAATAAAATAATAAAAAAACAAAAAACAAACGATTCACTCCCTAAAAATATTATTGTGACACAGATACACAAGAACAATTGCAGAGAGTGAACTTTTTGGCCTCAAATTTGGCCCTGAAAAAACATCTTTTAAGTAAAAATCTTTTGCAGAAATTCAATCGTGAATAAAAAATTACAGTAAAATTTTTGTGAGGAGTTTTGGTTGTTTCCAAAACAGTCAGAAGTCGATTTTGAATTTTATTATAAAAAGATATAGCAATAGTGGAAAATTAAGAGAATTAGTTCTATACTTCAATCAGACAGAGTTATTTCTTATTCTTATGAATCAACTCACTTTTGATAGATTGATAAACATAGTCGAGGAGGTTTCTTTCTGGCACCGCAGATTCTTCACTGGAATCTTGCCCAAGTTCCTCCTCTTCGATCAAAGTCAAGATTCTTCTGCAGCAAGAAATACATTCAGAATAAAAAATAAATAAATAAAAGTATATATATACATATCGATTTATGACATTAAATTAAATATACAATCTCTGTTTTGGCAAATATTCAAGATCCTATCATTCCCATATTTATGAAGTTACTGAAAAATAAAAAACTAGACTAATATGATAAGACTAGACTAGACTAATCAAAAGATAATTATTAAACTTACGAACAATTAGAATACATTTTAAAGATTACTGAGACATAAATAAATCAAGTTTAAAGAAAGGTAAGATACTTACAATTTTTGAGATGTAACCCAAAATCCAACAAATAATAAATGATAAACTACAACTTGACAATTTTTGGTATAATATTGACATTGATGAAAATGAATAGGAAAAGAGAGAGTTAAGTAGCAGTTAAGTGAGAGTTTTTGATTTTCTCAAACAGTCCTGGTTTTATCAAGATCAAATGGTAGGTAGTTAAAGTCTGTTTTGTATTTTTTATTTATTTTTTTTTTTTTTTGGTGGGGATCGGAGAAACAATCAGAAAATTTTATTTTGTTTAGCGGAAAAATGATAATAAATCGACTATCGAACTATTTCAGATCTCAAACTGTTTAAAATCGACTTTCGTTGGCACGGAAAAGGTAATTAATTAATTTAATCTATGTTGCATCCATAAATTTCTCATTAGGATAATATTTCTTTTTATCTAATGGATGGTAATTTATTCACAATTATTCACGAGTATTAATACTAGTAAATATATTTTAAATAGCCGTTTTTTTTTGTTTTTTTTTATTGATTATACTGGAATGAAAATTTTCCACTTTTTTTTACCTCCTGTGTATCTGCTACTGGTTATTATTGATTTATTGGCGAATAACTTTCATAAAATGGTAGAATTTTTTAATGTGCTGGCGCAATAACTTTTATTTTTCTTAATGGGAGTGTTTTTTGATATTTTCACAAACTTTGTAAGTAAAGAATTCTGATGAAGAGTTCGTTTAGTATCTTCTACTGCTGGTTTCATATTATGGTTATGGTTGAAGTTGTATTTTTGGGACCGTTAGCATTTTAGAAAACCAAAATCTCACTATTTCTACTCTTTCTCACTAATTGTAAGTATTATCCCAAAAATTGTCCACTTGTAGTTCACCATTTGTCTAGTCGTTCAATGAGGAAATATTAATTTTGGAGGATTGTAAATAATCCCTAGTTTCCCTTTTAACTTATTTTAGTTATATTTCATTAATTTTTAATGTTTATTCTAATTGTCCTTGGCGCTACAACTCTTGCAGAACCTTGTGCTCTCGCAATTTGGTACGCTAGGCGTTTCTGCTGGTTGGAACTGGATGGATCTTGCATCAACTGACACACCATCCACCAATCGCACCCAGGATCTTCTCACTCTTCTGGTGGCATAGATATTTTTATCAAATATCTTTTGAAGGTTTTAGTCTAAGTCTCATTCTTGTAATATGGCCAGCCCATTAAAATTCATGGCTCGTAAGTTTAGTGTTTAATAATTATTTTCCCTGATCCTTGGAAAATATCTATTGTCAAAATGATCCACAAACCCAAAAAGCCACCAGAATATCCATCCTCTTACCGTCCCATCTCTATGTTACCCATCATGGGAAAAATCCTGGAAAAACTAATCTTAAAACGCCTGTACCCAATCCTAGATTCTAATCACATAATCCCACATCACCAATTTGGATTCCGCTCCTCCCATTCCACTATACAACAATGCCATCGTGTGGTAGACGTAGTATCCTCTGCATCGGAGCGCGGTATGTACTGTACGGGAGCCTTTCTCGATGTTGAACAGGCGTTTGATAGAGTTTGGCACCCGGGACTGCTGTACAAACTCCGAAAATTCCTACCATCTACCTACTTCCTCATTATCCGTTCCTACCTTACTGATAGATACTTTAAAGTAAATCACAACAATGTCTATACATCCCGTTTTTCCCAGTCTGCAGGTGTTCCTCAAGGTAGTATCCTAGGTCCTATCCTTTACACAGTTTATACAGCTGACATCCCAACCCATCCCAACACTGTCATCACCACATATGCTGATGATACATGTATCCTATCAGTTAATAACTACCCATCTATTGCATTCCAAACCCTCCAATCCCACATCACAAACCTGGAAGAATGGTGTCAGAACTGGAGAATTAAAATAAATTCCAATAAATCCCATCAAATTACCTTCACCCTTCGTCGTAAACCAATGACTTCCTTTCTTTCTGTATCCTTTAACAACACCTCACTTATTCCTGTTGAACAAATCCGTTACCTAAGACTCCATCTGAACAAACGTCTAACTGGGAATCCTCATACCAGACTGAAACGACAAGAAACAGCTCGACGTTTCCGACTACTTCAACACTTACTAGACAAACGCTCTAACCTTCCAATCAATTATAAAAGACTGATTTACATGACTATAATAAGGCCTATTTGGACTTACGGAGTTGAGCTATGGGGCTCCACCAAACCTTCAAATTCCTCTCGCATACAATCCTTACAATCCAAAATCCTTCGTAAAATCCTCAATGCTCCTTACTTTTTTACAAATAAAATTATCCATAATGACCTTAATGTTCCTTATGTATCAGATTTGGCCCAATCCAGATATCTGTCCTTCCATAATAAACTTCATAACCATCCCAACCCTCTTGTCTCTAACCTTGCTTCCTATTCGATTCCTGATAACCCTCCGAGGCGTCTGAAAAGAAGATGGCCACGTGGTCTTCTAATATAGATATATTATTAGAGTGCTACCAATGGGTAGTTTCTCAAAATGTGTTCCATGTCTTTATACCAATGTGCGAATTTACCAGATGTATTTTTTGTATACAGTTGTAAATATCATATAAATAAATAAATAAAAAAAAAAAAATTATTTTCTTAAAAATCTAAAAATCTGTTTTTTTTTTTCTTAGTAGGCCATGAACATATGGACAATAAAATCTCGAAACGTCGCCAAAACCTAATTGTATATTGATTAACTAAACATCAAGATTACACAAACATTCACAGATACATATACACACATATTTAAAGTTAATACCATGTATTTGTAAATTAATCTATCAAAACATCGACAATCAATAATTATTAAAATTATTAGACATGTAATGGATAATGAATTATTGTTCCATTCAAAGTAACAAGTGGTGATAAGTTGACAAAAATAAAGCTAGAGAGATGGGTTGTGTTGCCCAAAATCGGTCTTTGTCTTGCACTTTGTAAGACCAAGACCAAGACTGGTAAAAAATAATCGTTTTTGTGAATAAAAATGAAGGCAAAATAATTACTAATACTTGACAATTTTAGTTACTACATATAAATAATTGGTATAAACAAAATTCTTTTGCATTTAACTCTTCTTATTTTTCATTTGGGCTTAGTTAGGTTTCCCCTATCTGAAAACATACAGTAATACATCTATAGTAATAAGCTAATAGACAATTGCAAGACTTTTGGGAGACTCTTGCGCAAGACCTAGACAAAGATCAAGATTGAGAGCCCAAGACCAAGACTCGTCTTGGTCTCGCATTTGTGCCACACTAGAGATGGGTATGATTCTCATCTTGCAAATTATTCGGGATTTTTATAAATTATAAATGAATCATTGTAGAACTAATGACCAGAATTATAATTATAAAAACTACAATTGTCTGAGTAAAACATTAAATTATTATTAGAACGTTTTATCTCCTATGAATCTTACGGCTCTGAGCTTACCAATGACGATCGCCCTGAAGCAACTTCGTGAACTCTTTTTGAACTTTACTCGAACTGTTTGCTACTATACAATTTAATAGTGCTACTATTTAATGATTTTTGTGATTTCTATTGTTTCGTATACATTTCATTATGCATAATTTTCAGTTGTTCTTATTTATTTATGTGATTGAGTTTTTTGTTTAATTAAAGTTAAGTTTTATTTTTTCACAGTTTGATAGATGATGATGTATTTTATTTTCTGTATTTGAAGTTTTTTTTTTTATAGAATCTTCAAAAGTCCATTAATTGCACATGAAAGTTTTCTGTCGTAAATAACCACCATTTAATATGGTGAAGAAGGTCTTAGATTGAAAGGAGTTTGTTGGCTTTTATATATTTGCTTTTTAAGATTTGTCTTGTGTACCTAAAGCGCTCTCTCCCAGTTTTACGTCGAGTTAAACTAGTCCTTCTTTTACTCCTGTCGACAATATTTCCTCATAAGCTTCTAAATAGGAAAAAGTATCAATATCACAATGTTTGAATGTATGCAATATATGGTTGTTCAAAACATATTGATATATGTATGTTTTAATATAAACATATCGATATTTTTGTTGGATAGTTTAATTTCGATATATTGTAATATTGATATTAGAATTCGACTATAGATGTTAAAGAAAAATTAAATGAATAAACAAAAAATAAAAGTATATATTGAATACTTAATAGTTGACCATTGTATTATTGAGGAAGCAATGTATGATCTCTTATTTTTATAATTATATTTTACTTATATGGACGTTTTACTTCTTTCATTTTTGTTTTTATTCACATTGTACTCCTATCTATAATTTCTTAATTCTATTTTATATGTATATATTTATAATTTATTATTTCATAGATATAGTATTTTCCATTGTATCTATCCATATCTTCAAATTTTAGATACTGTAATTTTCCAACTTTTACTATTTACCCCCTCACCATTCCCCAACCAGGTCAGCAAATTTCCCCAATACTTATCCTGGTTTTCCAGTTCTAAGTGAAACTTCTTGCTGAACACACCTGTAAGTCTCTATTTTTATTCTTCTAATTTTATTAAGACAAGTCATGAGCGTATGTGGCTTTAGTGCCCTTTCTCAGTCTCCACTGGATCCCCATCTCAGTGATGCCGCTGAGAAATAAGCGCTGGGATCTCTTTGAGTCATGCCTTATCTTCCACACGTGGGGGAAATGGCCCGACTTGAATTTCCCTCGGCTGACTGTAAATATTGTAAATAAGCATG